AAACTGGCAAGCTGCCTCAGAGTTCCCTGGAGCATTTACCACAAAAACCAGGCTCCTGGGCCCCATCCCCGATCTAGCCAATCAGAGCCTCCAGGTTTGGGGCCTGGGAGTCTGCACTTGCCCCTCTCCCAGGGTTCCGATGTGCAGCCTTAGAACATCGGGCCCTACGGAATGTTTACTGGGGCCACTCACGTTCAAGGAACCAAGGATTCGTCCATCAGGACTCTCATTGGTTACAAGTTACAGAAGCCCAAGTCAAACCATTTTTTGGTTCACAGAACTCCAAGCCCAGAGGTGGAGGTAACGTTTTGTGCCACCTAACCCAGACCCTCAAACTAAGTCACCAGGAAGCATCCCCCACCGTGGGCCTCACTTGTCTCCATGTTGCCTTCCTTCTCAGGGGGTCCCCCAGCATGATGTGCAGGGACCACAACCCCAGAGGCAGGAGCTGCCTCCTTCTCAGAGCCCCAGCCACTGTCCCCAACCTTCTTGTCACTGTCACTGGGGTGTGTGCTCTCAGGTTGGCCAGGCCTGACACTCCCCACCCTTGCAGCCTGAGGCGGGGTCGGCCACCTTGACCCTGAGGACTCTGAGCTGGGAGGCGTGGTCTCCAAATGAAATTCTGCATAGGAAAAAAGTGGGACCACCGTTTAGAGGCTTTAAAAGGTCCCTGGACATTAGGGATCTTGAAGTGAGGTATGTGACATACAGCATAGCATCCCCCAGACTGGACCGACCATGGCAACCTTCTTAGTTCACTCCCGCTGCATTTCATCTGCATTATTGTGTCTTTGGTTCGTCTTCTCCTTTTTGTAGCCAAACATTTACACTAAACTAATGCCCGTCTTCTCTGGGTGATTGACTGGTGTAACGCCTCCCAGACAGAGGAGGGGAAAAGCATCTGCTGGTGGGAAGGGCAGGCACTTGGAATCTGGCTGACCCGGGGGCAGTGCCAGCCGCTCACGTGGTGCATGATTTCCACTGTAGTCTGAGTTCCTGTGTCCTCCTCCGTAAGACGAGGCTAAAAGCAGCCCCAACCTCGTAGAATTGTCACAAGGACTCACGGACGGACGTCTGTGGAGCCCAGCGTCACACAGAGCAGCTGTACTTCCTTCATGGAGCTGTTCTTCCAATCTTAGTATTTCCTGTCACAATGGCGTGTTCTTAAAGAGATTGACGGGGTAACCCTTCTTTTACTTATTTTAAACTTTTTTTATTTTGGAAAATTCCAAACATACACAAAAGTAGAGAAATAGAATATAATGCATTCTTGTGTACCCCTCAGTCAATTTCAACAATTATCAACTCCTGCTACACCCAGACTCACCTACTTTCTCTCTACCTGGTGGGTTATTCTAGAGCGAATCCCGGGCACACTCACTTCCTGGGGAGGACTTTGGGATCCAGGTACCTCTCCAGCTGGGAGAGGGCCCTCCTCCACAAGGTCATTCAGACTCGGTTGCCACCTGAGGGTTTCAGGTTCATGTTCATATGAAAGTCACTGAAACGCCATCATGGGCTGTGCCTCTCACATTTCCTCCAGAGATTCAGGGCCCTTCTGATGGCTGCAGATCCGAGCTGTATTGCAGGGGAGGCGCGCATGGAGCCACCGGGAACACAGGCTTTTCCTGGTCATGTAGCTCTGGGTTTGAATCCCGACTGTGACCCCTTGCCAGCTGTGAGACTTGGTCAAGTGTCTGAGCCTCTCCCAGTCTCAGTTTCCTTAGCTGTAGAGTGGGGATAATAGTAGTACCCACCTCCTGGGATTACTGTGAGGATTAAATGAGTATCTATTTAGCACAGAATGTGGCATATGTCAAATGTTTAAAAAATATCATCCAATGTTATTGTCTTCCTCATCCTATCCTCGTCTCTAGATGTGTGCCGTAAAAGGCCTTTAGAGAATACAGACCTTGTGGCTCTGTATTCACAGGACCCTTTCTTTTTTTTTTTTTTCACAGGACCCTTTCTAAAGTCAGTTTTTAATTTCCTTGATTTGTCTGGTAAAGATACTTTACGTAAATGACCGAGAGTCATCAAACTGATGGCAGTCTTCTCATTCAGGATTTTTTATTTTAAACCCTTTGCTCGCTTAAATGTGTCATTCTCTGCAGTCCTGCTATGTCAAAAAGGGAATTCCGGGTGTTCAACCTTTGCAACCGCCACCCACCTGCCATAGAAGTGCGGAAGACAGAGGGTGGCTGCAAGGGGACCCGTGTTTTTCTGCTTCCTGTGGAAGTAAGGAAGTGGGATCACTGAAGATGGACTCAGTTATCCCGTCATTGGCAAAAAAATCATAAAGCTTAACAGCCTATCACAATCTTGCTGATGAGTAAAAAAGATACCCAGGAAAAAAATTTAGTCTGTAATAAGTGTTATAACATGACAGGGAGCATTATTTACAAACATGAAAACAAAGAGAAATAAAAATAGTTATTGTAAGGTGTTCACTGGCTGGCGTATGTGTCCCCCAGTTAGTGTCTTCATAAATCCCTTTGACTCCAGGGTTTTTCGTCCACTTCAAAACAAAACCAAAAAAACACATTTACTCTTTGG